CATAAAAGAAAATAAACAAATAGCTCAATACAATACATCACCAAACTTCATCGCTAGTATCATAGTCTAGGTGAGGCCTTTGGTCCCTCTTGACAAAGGTTGGGTCGTGGGTAAATTAGCCCAAGTCTTGGGTTTTTTGTAGATAGACGTAGCAATAATCAATAAAGTAAACTGAGGCTATTTATGTAAAATTATGTTTTCGTCACCTTTAATTAGTGCCCCAAGGCCGATTTAGACATCAGTTTCGATATTGCTTTTTCGTTTATGTGCCATATCACATTACTGCAAAAATGTTTTCAAAATAGACTGTTCAAATGTAAAAATCGTAAATTTTTACCATGTAAAAAATATCATGGTTAATCTTTATAAAGATATCGAAATTTAAGAAATTTAATTAAAACTTGTGGTTAAAGGTAAATATCCCTAAACATTGTTATTTGGTAAACATGTTTTCATTGACTTAAATTATAATGCACCTTATGCATGCATTATCTCAAAAACTGGCTACCGTACCACACTGCCTTTAGTACCCCCCTATATACCCCCCTTCATATAATATCCGGATACAAAAAAAAAATCTCGAAAAAAATTGTATAAGATTCGGGTATTAAGATTTAATAGATTTAATTGAAAATAATACAACCATGTCACAGTACCCCCAGCTTGTGTACCCACTCTTGGTTAAGTACCCAGGGGTATATTGCCATGTATAATACCCTTCTTTTTTGATTAAGACCTGGGTACTAAAGGCAGTGCGATACGGTAATTAAGCGGTGTGAGATGTTCTAAATAAAAATATTCTACTCTTCCAAAAACCCTTTCCAACTCTAATCCTAACTATAAATACTAGCCCTAGTGTAAAATTTGTATTAGAAAATTTAATAAAAACATATATATAATAGATGTTGGACATATAGGTGCATTTTATATTACGTATCTCTAAATTAAATACTATTTATTTATTAATATGTAATATATGTTTGATTCCTACGCTATACTGTCTTTATGTTATTCGATTCAACTATTATTATAAGAACCCTTGCAACTTTAGTACGCAACATACATACTGAATTTTGGCAATTAGATTTCTATAAAGCTTATACTCATCATCGAATAGCGGGTCGAATACTTTCATTGAATAACGAGTTGAATACCTTATAAGTTTTATATTCCTTTCATTTAATGACATGGATGAACACACTAGTAGAAATAATAATGCTTTCATTAGGAGATTTTATGTAACGCGTATATCAAAATATATATCCTAATTTTTTCTTCCTATATTCGTTAATCGTACTCCAAGCTCTTTCTACTCAATAAAAAAAATTCTGTTAACGCAGTTTCGTAATTGCCTACAAGTAATATGAAAGTTGGTGGATTCAAATGGATTCAACAGTATTATTAAAATACGCTGAGAACTTCAGGTTTGCTTGTGATACTTACACGTTTTCATAGAAGGGATAAGTTACCCGAAATTCCTAAAAAAATTTCTTTAACGGTTGTGCAATGGACAAAACAGATATGTATGACGTACGTACCAATGTAATCGACGTAATCTCGATAAAGTTAGCCGCACCAGCATAGTACTGACTGGCTGATTTAGTCGGTATAATGTCTTTTCGGGAAGAAGGCATAGCTTGTTTTTTTTCATAATTAAAATGCAAATAAAATTATTGTGTTGCTCGACTATTGGCCGATTAACCAAAAAAGATAGATATTTCTACATATCGATATAGTATTTTGCATGCAATTAATTTATATCTGAACTAATGTGTTCAGTATTTACTAAGCAAATGAGTATACAGTACAGTTTAAAGCAATTATTTTACTAATCATTCAATCAATCAATTAATCAATCAATTAATCAATCAATTTTGCAACCTCAACCCACAACAAACTAGGGTCCCTAACATTTTTATCGTTATAATATAGTCTTTTCTTTGCTGGTTTAAAACTAAATTCCAACAACACTCTCTCGTCTTTCCATCCATAAATCTCTCTGAAAGTGAAATTAAAATTTGCACTTATTAAAAACTCTCTAGGCGCAATGTTATAATCTGTCACGTTTAATTCTTTCAGCGTTCCCATCAATGATTCAAAGTCTAATACACTTCCACCGATAAAACTCGAATATGACATAGGCCTGTTATAGAATCCACCAACTGCAACTGTCTTGACATTTTCGTAATCTGATAAATGCTGCGCTAGCGCTGCACATGCGGATCCACATAAACCATTTGTTAATATGACCATATTTTTTGATTGCCACGGAAGCGGTTTAGCATTTGATCCAATTATTTCTTGAAAATCTTGTGTATTGTTCGCGTCAATATATTTATTTGTTGTACGAACTCTATGATTGTCCCGAGTTTGGAAATTTTCGCCAAGGAAGTCCGTTGTATCATTAAATTGTTGCTGCGTATATGCATTAAGGTATGCCTTTGGACTGAACTCAGTGAACGACCCTGATATTTCTGATGCTCTTCGAACTGATAAGGAAAACAATGGCGTGACTAAATTGTCATTTGGGAAGAATGGATTTACTGAGAGAAAGAGGCGATGAACAACAAATTGTGACACTTTTATAAATCCTCCATAGTTATTTTGTAAATCTAACACAAGCTTTATTAGAAAACCAAATTTTTTCATTTAAAAATAATGTTATCATATTTGTTAAATAGAATTATAAATAAAATTAAAGTACCTTCTTAACGCGTGCTTGGGCAAGTAACTCAAATCCATGATTTAATCCTTTCATCATATCCATCTCAACTGTTATGTCATTACGACTTTCGGATAAAAATGATGAAATTACTACGATTCCAGTTTCGCCCAATGTGTAAAAACTTGCAAAATCTTCACTATATAATAATTTTCCACTTTTCAATTCAAATTCTTTATTTTTTTTTGCTGCAAATACCTTCGTATCATTACTTTTC